AATTAATATTTCTGTTTTAATATTTTTAAATAAGAAAAAATGGTTTGTAAATTGAAGATACCTACAAGTATTTTGTATATTTGCCATTTCTACAGAACATGATACATGTTTGGCAGGATATTCTACACTTTTTGCATATTTGTGTTCTTCTCCAGTTATTAAATCACAAGGTGTACCCTACAATTATTTATGTTTAATGTAATGAAAGTAATCAAATAGCAATGTCATATTTGTTACTCACCATAGAATTACATTTGTTACTAACTTCATTGGCTAATAATTTTAATGGTCCACAATAAACACCACTTTTTGCTTTCATAAAATTTTGTAATGCATGGTATGTTTTACCACTATTTGTAGGACCAGCATGAAATATAATTTTTCTCTTTTTATGTCTAGCTACAGGATACCTAAATATAATAAAAATTAAAATATTTAAATTTCTTCAGTGTCATTTTTATCCAAATGTATTTTATGTATTTTATATTGATCACTACCAATAAGCTGGATTTCGAAGATCACTGATTTTCTTTAATTCATCTAAACAATCAAGGTGCGGATACATTTGTTTGGCAAAACGTAAGAAGTAAGGAAATATATCCGTAATATTTCCAGCTTCTTGTATAATATCACTTAAGACAATGTGAAGATCTGTAGGTAATGTATCAGAGTCTACACAATATTTTCGAAAACTATTCATAGTTTTGTCAAAAATCATTTCTGCAAATAATTAAATAATTAAGATAGAACACTACAAAAATGATTATTTAACAACACAAAAATAAATAATAACAATTACCATCCAATCCATGACTTTTACTTAAATCTTTAATTGCATCTTTGTTTGCAAAAGAACATAAAGTCTGTATGATTGTAATTTTGTTTAAAGTACCAGATAATTCTGCACCAACATTTGCATCTTTTAACTCTGTTTTAACAGGAACTGGTTCAAATAAAGAACTTATATTTGAATTATGTTTACTGTGCTTCCTTTTTATGCTTTGGGTCAATTTTACTGTAGGTTTTAATTGCCTAAAAAATATATTTAAAAAGCAAGTTAATACCATCACTTCTCAATATTGTTTTGGGCACAATTTTAAATATAATTAAACGATGAACA